GTTATCGTAGACAAACAGGTCTCTCAACTTCGCGATGTTTGCAATTGTTCGAAAGAATGCTTTGATAGCTGCGCGAGCCAATACATAGGGATTGTGAGTAGTAACATCGAGAATTTCAAAGTTTTCCAGTTTATGACTTGTTCCTACAATCGTTCTAGAGGTTCTTTAAATAGCATGTATAATCAGTCAGCATTTTGATTCTTTTCATTTGTAGAGGAAATCAAATGTGATTCGATTTATTTATTCATTTGTTTTTTTTTACTCAATCAATTTTTGCGATATTTTTAATACAGTGGCGAGCAGTAGATAAAGAAATAAAAATGACAATCAATTATATATAGTTTATATAGTCTGTAGATTCTTCTTTCCGTATTGCATATTCTTATTATACACACTTGTGACGGAGTTGACCTCAACGGGTTAGAACGACCCTTCGTGGCGCACAGATCCTTACACAGCGATTTTCCGCTTAGGTGTATCTTGCGCGTCGTCTCTTTTATGACGCATTCGGCGTATGTAATACCTTCTTCTATTACGTGTTCGACGTAAAACTGCCGGGTGCAAGTCCGGCGGCGGCGGTAATACCGGCACGAGTAAAACGTAATACATATGCTAACGATATCTCCGCGTGCGCCCCGTTGGCGATTTATGGACGAGCGATACAAGATGTTCCGCTTGAACCGGCGACGCGCGGTGCCATCAAAGTGTGTCTCAACGGGCGGCGAGTATGGTCGTTCGGACGGAAAATGGGGGGAGGATTTCGATCAACGAGGGAATATATAATTAGACGGCCAGCAGCGTACGAATTATAGCGCTCGTTTAGCTGTATTTTCGGCAAACCAGGATACTGATAATTTTCTCTCGTGAGCGAAACTATCCGGTGTTGAAATCAGGTATTTACTTGTATTTGTTTCGTGGGTTTTGCTTTGTAAAACTATCAACAAATGAGAAATTCTTGATTATTATTCGTTTGGAAACTCGTGAAACATTGCGCATATCGTGATTACATCATATTACGAACATTTTGAATTGTTGAAATTATTCAAGAGTTGTACATAGCACTGAAATTTCTAATTTCAGTGAAATGCTCCTTTGTTTCATAAATATGTCAGGTAAAAATGCAACTTGATATTCTGACTACATGTTATTCTCTCTTGGTACTTTTGCTTAGTTATCGCATAAACGTTTATTCCTATATAATAATATAGAAATATTTCATCTTGTATCCAATATCGCAATTCTTGTTGCATTTTTTGTTCAATTGGTCGACTACGAATTTCATAGTAATTAATTGAACTATATCTGAAATGTTAACGTCTAGTCCATTTTTATCGAAAAATATCGTTCACATATTTTTCTGTAATATAAAATTGCTTTTGATACACTGCAATATTACAGTATAATCGTAAAATATTTCCAACCATAAATGGATTATTCACGATCTATTGAGAATCGAAGTTTTGCTAATTCAATTATGTTAATGTTTATTATCGTAAATTCGTTACACAGAACAAAAAGTTTCACTTTTTTACTTTTATGTAATTATATATTTTATACGGTGTGTATTATATATCGCTTTTATTAATTGAAATTAATTACAGAAAATTAATTGAAATTGATAAATTAAAATAAGCTAAAGGTCTAATCTAATATTTTGTTTGATCGTAGAAAAGTCTATTACTTGCGTTTAACGGAATATGTTATAGATTTATGATTTTTTTACTGTCCATATAAAATTTATAAAAGAATACCTATAAGAAATTTGGCTGAAATGAATGAATTGTAGTAGGGCTACTAAATCCAAGTCATTTCGGAAATGAGAAATAACATCGTCTACAAATTTCCTAACTATTTCAAGGGAGCTAAACTCCATTTCACCTACGCTTAACTCACGAGAAATAATTGTTACTGAAAGCGAAAAGTTTTTGAAATTCCACCGAACAAATAGTATTGTTCAGCCATATAGCACTGTGTTGAAAACACGTGTCGTTCGTATTTGCGCTTTCCAGTTGCTTGAAGAACTATTTTTTCGAAAATATATTTACGTTAGCAAATAATTTACTTTAAATGGAAAAGAACGTATAAATAAAAATTGTATTTGGCTTGATATCAAAGAGAAATAATTTTTACTGAAATATGTAAAGTTCGAATTTCACTCACTTCCATACAATAACAAAATTTCTTTGATTAAAATGTAACTTTATTACATTTGATATGAGAAAGAAACGCTGAAAACATACATGTAAACAATACTTATGGTATCTACTAATTTCACTTTTATGTAAACGCTCGCAGAATGCTGGATGGTTGTACTCTCATTGTTGCAACGCTATCCGCATATAACTCCAATTTGCATTGCTAATATAAATATCAAGCTTGAAATACAAGGAAAGCTCGCAGATTCCAGCATTTACCAAAGTCTGAGAACAGTTGTTGATTACTTCCTTAATTGGCGGCTTCTTACCGGCGTGTCTTTCATTTTCGCGGTGTTTCTACGGGTCACCGAAACTACAAGATTTTTTCCTCACTTTAGTTTCGAACATTCCGAAACTCACGGTAATTAAAATAGGATTGTATACAATAATTACGGGAAAATTACTTTGCACAAACAATGTGTTTACAACAAACCAAATACTTGGAGCTTAATTCATCATTTAAAGTTTTGAAACGAATCTTTTTTTTTTTTGAGACGAGATGTGCAATTTATCTTGGAGGATGTGTGCTCCGGTTTTTCTCGTCGACACCTATCTCGAACTTTTCGAAATTTCTCACGCCAACTGGAGCTTAAAGTGAAGTACGTCGTGAGTGTCTCTCAAGCGTTTTTTTAACCTGTACTCAAAACTATCAAAGAGAAAATCTTCGGTACCGATGTGTTGGTCGTGCAAATAAAATTTACCACCCAAGTTTGCGGCTGAACTTACCTAGTACGTCGACGAGTTTTCGAGTTTATCATCGTGTGCATCTTTTAATAAGCTCAAGTAGTGGTTAAACATTATGGAAAGGCGTGGTTAAGGATTCCTCGGAGTTTCAGTGCAATTTATTATCACTTTTTGTGATAACAGATATATAATTATAAATAAATTAATAATTTAGATGATTACGTTTGCGCGCGGAAAATTTTAATTTCCTGTTTCGAGATTTACAGTACACAAGTAAGCTGGATAACAGAAGAGATATATCTTTAACCTATTTTATATTTATTTAAAAATACTTGATATGATTACAAAGTATGAATACATTGCAAATGAATTATTTGGATTATTTATAGCATTTAAAAAATAAGATTTTACGCGTAGTGATAAAAATTACTATTCATATAGTTTTCATTTTACGCAATTTTAAATGTGCTAAAAAATTATTGTGATTATGATCATTAAGATGATGCAAAATTTAAATATCATTGATTAAGTCATTTCTGAATACTGCAGTCTGGGACACTTCCCAATTTGAGTCGCTTAAGTTAGTAGAAGTTATGCCACGCTGCGCTCCAACTACCATGGATGAAAATTCGCCCAAGGGTATTATGGCGTTGGTGTCACGGGGTCGACAGCACCGACAAACTAACCTACTGTAATTCCCTTGATGATTTTAATCCGTTGTCACTTAAATCATTTCTTATTACAAGTTTAGACGCATTCGAACAATTCATTTGCCGTTAAATTATTTCATGAAGGTAGTCAAAGATTGACATTATTTGTTAGATTCTCTTTGAAGGATTCTTTAGAAAGATTGACATTATTTGTTAGATTCTCTTTGAAGGATTCTCTAGAAATCTATGTTTCGAAACAAAAAAATATTGTTAGCATTTCCAATTTCTTAAAAATATATTTTTTCTTATAGTAAGGCTCGACACCATTTTTCTACATATATTTTTTTTGTTTTAAATAATTTGTAGCATAAAAATGCGCAATGTGCGGTAGGTGTTGATGCATCAATGCATTCGTACGTATTATGAGTTTTCAACTGAAATAATTTGCCACTGAACTGCTTTCAGTTAATCAATTACAGAGATTAGTTATCATGAAGCAATTGAAACGGTTTTGAAGAGGCAAAAAGTTATAATACCATGTGCTTTTTCATTGGAAATTGCGCTTACAATTTATAACGATTCTCTCTGTAACAGAGTCCTATGAAAATAACAATTACATTTTTTAATAATGAATGAATAAAACAGGCGGTAAAAATACGAGTGGATAATTAGATTTACTATTTATTTCATAATTGCAAAAATCTCTTTGATGAAGAAACAGATATTCACAAAGCATATTCTGCAACTAATTTACAAGTTAAAAACAAAGAATTTTATATTTGTACATGGTATTTAGCAAAATGCTTTATTCTAACATTAGATGTTTGCATAGATAGGGGGAGAGTGAAAAGAATAGCGTTTATAAATATATCATTAAATAACTCAAAACCTTGTGTTTAATTAAACGCGAAATATGTCAGTTGCAAAGAGATTTGTTGGAATTTTTATCAATATCGTCTCATAAAAAACGAATTTCTGAAAATTAACAAAAGCCACTAATTGTGAATAAGCCACTAAGCGTTTTATATAGTTAAATATTTAGCGCAGATGATTAATGAATGCCCATGCGCTTTTCATAAATTGTACGCATGGAAATGTTTATGTAACATTTTTGCGAAACTCTAATGAAACTTTTTATCTAGTAATGTCAATTGTAATACCACAATTGTTGTAACTGCATATAATCGTAATATCATAATTTTTATCATAATAAGTTTCGACACAAACACAAACTTCACATTTTATTTAAAAATTTTTTAACTGCATTATAATGTGCAATGTCTAATATTTTTTATAACACTGACGTAACTTACCACAAATTTTGATTTGCACGTTCTTGCGAGATAAGATTTTTTGATCTGTATTTGATCTGAAGTTTCGGAGTTTCGCAAAGATGTTTCAAAAAGGGAGAAGCTTCTCGGAGATCAAAGATCTGTTGTCGATTCTAAAAATTCTATAATCGCACACTCACCCTCATGGTCGAAACCCCTCACATGGTCCCACCGACGCTGAAAAACACCTTCAGTCTGCAGTGGATTTGCGTCTGTCACCCATTCGCCATGCCCCACTGTTCTTCGAAAAAAACAATCGTTGGGCGTTACTTGTTTCGCACGAGGCAATTTTCACATTCAATCCCGACCTTTAATCTTTAATATCAGAATCCTTGACACGAATTCTCCTCACATGTCCGAATTATGCGCTATGCTTTTGCACCTGATCCCTCAGAATGCCTGTGTACTACGAGAATTTCCACTTGACACCTCGCAGATGTTCGTATTAATTATTAAAGCAAGTTGGTAAACAAGTTAGATAAATTAATTACACGAATTCATGGATGGTGTAATAAACGAGAATGACGAAAGCTTGTAACGATCGTACACTCTACATGAGAAAGCTTGCAGATGGTTAAAAATTTTCACAGAGTTTTAGAAACTTCGCAAAATTTGCACCTCTTCATAATGTTTTTTATGGGCAAACGAAGAATGGAAACTTGTTGAAAACTCAGACGTAAGCTTGGTGATTTGCGAAAACGTGGTCGTGAAAGCTCTCTCGCGCAGCATCGAACTGAACGAACGAGCAGTCGGGTTGATGCGAGGTCGTGGCCCGGCAGCCGGCGACTGGCTGCTGCTAGAAAGCTCGCAAGCTCGAGCCAGTCGGCCTGGCTAGGCGCAAGCTCCCTACTACGCGGCCTCGAAACACCCAAGCGAACACACCGCCGCGTCGCCCACCCTCCGAGAGAGAGAGGAGAGGGTTTCTTTTGGCGACTCGTGTCGCCGAGGAAAGGGCTGCCAGATATTTGGCAGCTTGCGTCGTCTTAAGGCTACTTAGGGTAACATTCGATTCCTATCACTTACGTGAGATTAACGCATCTACAAAGCAGAATTGTCCAAATCAGTATTATTTATATAAAAGCAGATTTTGTGACTATAAAAATAATTTCTAGATTTAGTTTTGTTAACATTGGAGACAATTGACATCAGATATATTTTGTAATGTTTATATGGCATGGAAAATGAAAGTTATAAAGCATTAAAAGCTTTGATTTCTATCAGAATGTAGTGACATATGTTTTTTTCTTCCATTTTATTTAAAAAAAAATCAGAACAAAGAATTTTTCTGGAGTTTTCTTTATCATATGCATGTAAGATAAATTATTTCTTCACAAAATTCCGGTTTTACGTGGATGAATTCGATTTAATCCGTCGCGAATCGGTGTTAATCGCGAAAGCTGATATCGATATTAATGGCAATGCGGATATAATGCTACATTCGTCGGTATTTCAATGATTAATCGATAATGAATTACCGCACCACTTCCGGCTGCAAGCGTATTACTCGATTTTATGCACCATTTCTTTTAATAACGCAGAATGGAAATAAATTATTTTGATGAAATAACTTCTTGCGTGAATTTAAATAATAATTTCATACACAGATATCTCTTTACGATATAATTAAAATAACGCAAATTTTTTTCTGCAAGAAATCCATCGTAAGAATTAAGAAATCGGCAATTACGATTTCTTAATTTTTAATTACGAGGCATACCGTAGATCTCAAGTCATATTCCGTTCAATTCTATTACGACATGTACTGATGTATTTCGCGAGGGCATTTGTGGCGTAAGGTTTACGACAGGCATAAAAACTTTTATTGGCAATTGCGTTGGCGAAGGAGATACATCTTTAACCCGAAGAAAGAAATGGAGGGAATTGGCATGGAAGGGGTCAATAAATTTTCGTTAATTATTCTTGATGGATCGGTAAAAATGCCACCACGTCGTACACGTTGGATCGTAGTTTGCGAAACTCGTGCTTGCGGGCAACCCGAGCACAATTGCGGCACCGTGGCCGACCACAAAGTGCTTTGATAGCGCGAATACGAAGCTATAGAAGGTCGGCTTACATGGAGAAGAAGAGACATGGGCATCACTTTTACTTTGCGTGTTTTAATTAATTTCACGCGCAAAAACGAATTCTAGGTGCGCGCGCAGGATTCGCGAAGCGGTCACCCGCGAGAAGCTTTGCCCGTATTCTCCCGCATTTTCGTATAGAGACTGTCTGTTCGGAGAATTAAACAAGGGATCATTTCGAACGACTATTATCTGTTAATCTTTAGAATAGTGATTGTCAAAGGATACGTTTCACGATATAGCACAGCGTTACAAAGATACATTACAAGTAACACAAAATTTTAGGAGTATCAATCTTATTACAAATTAAAAAATATTTATAAATATAAAAGTAAAAATATTTAATATTACACACATTCAAATATTTAAATATTAATTATATTTTTTGTTTATTAATACTAAGAATTATAAAACTGTGATGGATAACGGCTTTTATTAAATTTTCGTCAACCTAAAATTCATTAAAGGATTTTTTATTAAAATTTTTTTATAAATTACGCACATACCTATAATTTTTGAGATATATATATATGCATTTTATTTTAATTATGAGAATAAACGCGACGCGGAAAACTAAAAGTTGTCGATACAGCAATGGATTGCATAATTTGATGTTTAAAAATGATATAAAGATACATATTTTTAGACCTTCGAGGCACACGAGGCATGGACATTTCAATAAGCAAACAAACGGACGCGCGCGACTGTTTTATCGCCAAACAACGTAATGCGAAATAACGACCGATCGAACAAATGGTCTCGCGTATGTACATCTATTCTGTTCACGCATGCGCGCGATTCGACAAAAAAGCGTCGTGCACTTTTAATTAAAGCGCAAATGTGAAACAGCTCCTTTTGCGCACGTTTTATTACGTCCAATTGCCAAATGCGCGGCATTGTAATTTCACTTGCGTTGCGTCCACCACTCTGCGATAACCCTTTGCCTTTCGCCTCCCGTGTGCCTCGAACATATATTATCCCGCTGGTTTACGCGACCTGAGGCAAGTGTCGTTACACGCGGGATTCGTGTCTCTCTCCACGTGAATCGATATCACACGTCAGTTAGTCGCCGAAACGACACCTGTCGTGACCAAATCGCATATGTGGTCGTGTTCTATATAGATTATTTATGATTTTCGTAAAAGACGTATAACGATTTCTAAAAAACAATGCAATTATCAAGCAATAATTTACATTCTAGGACAAAGAGTGACATAATAATTATCGAACAATTATTCATTGTGCATTATCGGATACTGAATTATTTTAGCATGTTTGCCGGCACTCCATACAGCAGGATCATATCAGCTACATTAATCGATGTCTCGATTTTTGGACTAATTAGCGAACCGCGATTAATCATCCTAGCAAGTTTCAAGAAACCAGAGTAGCGCATAAGCTTATCGACGTTCCTTCTCTCGAGACTTTCACCTCTTCGCGGTCTATTAATCTATCGACCTTGAATAGATTCCAGTATTGCGACATGACAACTCTTAACGATGTCTTTGATCGCGTAATTCTTCAGATTGATAAGTAGCTTAGTCTCTGTTGCAACTCTGAAATACAAGTTCGCAAGATGAAATTCTTATTCTTCTCTTACGTTGTACCAAACTTTTGTAATAGCCGGAACCGCTAATTAAACTAATTTATCCAACTATTCTGTGAAAGTACCATTTCTCTAAGAGTACTAAATTTTATGTACAATTTTAATTTTATGTAGAAATTAAATTTTTTTATTCTATGCATTTAACTAATAATAACGTGCTTATAGGAATTTTTTAGTCGAGTCAATAAGACTTAAGATATAAAAATATTAAGATTATTTACGAGTTTTTTAATATATTTTTTTAATTGTTTGTTTTAAAGATAATTGATAAAAATGTATATAATTGAAATTTTTGAATTCTTTTGAATTTGTCGTCTGAATATTATTAAACATTCAACGATGGAATAAAGCTGCTTACAGCCATTTATAATTAATTTTATCAGTTCGTGTTCAAGCAACTAACACAAAATATTCGTTCTGCGCATTAATTTATGAATTCGTTTAACGTAAACAGAAATGACGAAATAAAATGCACCATTAGAAACGCGAAAAAATAACCCGCCGCGACGATGCAGCTTAAATATTCAAATTATGACATTCGAATGCAGATGAGGCCACAAAAAAAAATCATATAGGAGAGACCTGGGACGTCGTTCTTCTCGCATTTTGTGCGTATACGCGTAGTTATATGCAGGTCTCTGGACGACATCCAACTAAATTTTTATTCAAATGGTTATTTCAGCGAAACTTTTCCTCTTTGCATCTCCGCTTTTATAGATATTATTTAGTGTAGCGTAATTATGTCACAAAAGTATGATGCAATTCAATTTAATGTCTACATTGCGTGTAATATTTTGAAACATGCATGCGGCATTTTTATGCGTAAATCAAATCATTCCAACAATATACATATACTGTTCGTCAATAAATCGCTTCTACATAACTCAGGCAACTCGTGAAATTTTGCTAAAATTACTGCTCGAAACTAATTTACGATTTGATCACGCAGGAATTGTTGTAGATAGTGTTATCTTGAGTGAAAAAATACGTGATTGGGATTGCTTGAAAATCTAAACGTCGCGACGTGATACAACGACGTTAAGTAGCAACAGGCGCTTTCTTCGCTCTCGACGTAGAACAAGTTACCGTCATTAAAATTCCATAACACTAAATGGACGTGGTCTCTTCGCAGTAGCTTGCGCTATATACAGCCCTATTGTTCGTAGTTCGCAGCGCGCTTCGCGAGTCCTATTCTCCTCGCTACACCTTGCATCATTGCAAGTCAGCCGCGTGATCCGCCGTCAGGACGGCGGTTTTAGGACGGGTAATCAGGAAGATTCACGAGCATCCGTTTCGCGGCCATTTGTTTGGCTGTTTAGGATATAGGGTCGTGGAAGAAACCCGGTGGGAATTCGTAGGACGATCACGTGTTGTGCGGCAATAAATTCGCAGTTCTGCTTTGCGCTACGATAATCAACAAACGACCATGTCAAGGACGATGCGGTGTTCCCTCGCGTTAAACTTCTGCAGGACGCTTGGGATGCAGTGTAACCGCGCTTGGTATTAAAGCAGTATAGTTACTATTGCGTCTACTATATGATAAGAATTTTAAGAGCGGTAATGTTTGTCGAAACGGAACTGATTCGTCTTTCCGATGATTTGGAGGAACTTGAATTCTAACCTAATTTTAGTCCGAAAGTGAAAAAAAGAAATAGAATTTTAATATAGGAAAATTTAAAATAATTGGAATTTTCTGGGGAAATTTTGAGATGAAGAAAATTCAAAACGGTGTACGACGAATTAAATTGAGATTTGGGTCACGTAGCACTGGTAGAACTACCGAGTTAGAATCCTGGGGGACGTTTCTCGCGCTGCGAATTCTGCCAAGGAGAGCTTATTTTTTATCACTCTTCGTTGTATATCTTTAACGTGTACACGGAACTTTGCTCGTAGCAAATGCGCGGAGTTTCTGCAATCTCATCCACCGAAGAAGCTCGACCTCTCCTGCTAGATCGTCCACCATGGGGAGGCACGAAACTCCATTAGCATGTTCCAGATCCCGGCGGGTCTGGCGGGTGAGATCCTACGAGAGTGCTAGAAAGAGAGAGCCGGAATATAGGATAGTCGATAAATTCAGTATGTT